CATCAATCCATTCCTTCCCGTTAGCACTGTTCCTACTCGTCCCCCCCCCCCCACACACTCTGTACAACCCAAAGCTTCCACGCGCCCACATCTCATACCCAAACGGACGCCCAATTCCTTACCAAGATCAGGTCGAACAACGTCGCTTGGTCCACCTTCACAAAATCCGCGTCCCAAGCCTTAATTTCGTCCTCTGACGCCGGGGGCTTGTCCTCGCCCTGTTTCTGGTTGTCCACGTGGTACTTGCAGTACTCGATCACTTTCGCCAGGATCTTGCTCGACACGTTTGGCAGCGGGATCACCGCATCTTTGCCCGTGTCTTCGATCATGTTCTTCACTGCCTGCGACTCGAACGCCACTGCCTCGTCCACCTCGAACATTTCGTCATCTGAGCTTCTCAATTTCACGCGCTGCTCCGCCATCGCCACAAACTACCCTCACAAGATCCCTGCAAACACCCCGCTACAACGTCCACTCAAACACCCTGCACCATCCACGCCGACACCGACCCACACACACCCTCTCCGCCATCACCAAACCACGGCCAAGACCATCAACGCTCACACTCCCCAACTCCTACCCTTTCATGCCACTAACCACACACTCTCGCAACCTCAACCCTAACATCCTTCCCGCCACGTTCCACCACCACCTTCTCAAAACCTCGAAACCCCTACTATCACAAACAGGAGCCCACAACGGGGATGCACCCTAATCCTGAACGCGTCACAGACCAATCCTCATGGTTGCCGACCAAACCACCACGGCGGATGACCATCGCTCACAACTTCACAGACTCACTACATTTTGCTTCCGCCGCTCACTCCTCGCCCGCCCGCCTACCGATCCGTCCCATGCTGTCGCACACGCTCACATGACCCACCCGATTGACGCCCATGCCAGAATCAAATTTCGCTATAACCCGACCCCTAGAACACGCCACTACTCCGACCACAACCGCCACATCCCTACGACCCATCGCAACCTACTGGTTGCTATCGCACAGCTTCCCGTTCAGTGCTTCGGGCCACGAAACGCACTTCAGCGACGTTCAGCACTATCTCACACAACTACCCGTGAGGAACCAACCAACCAACCCTCCTACAAGCGACTTCGACAGTGAAGCCCGACTATCGATTCGCCATCCCTGGCAAGGCGATCGCACCCAAAGCTAAACCCTACGCCTTCAATCCCACTCTTCAACTTCCAGTCACGAAACAAAAAGCATTGGGCAGCAGCAGTTTTGCACATACAATTCGTCGCAAAAGACACAGCAATGCAGGACATCGGGGCGCATTGCAGCAGGTCAATCACCTGGTAACGCACCGGATAGCAACGTAAAACAGAGCCTCTTCTCTTCTCTTCGCAGCGATGGTCTCGATCGAAGTGGCTGATCTCCGCTTCCAGTCACTTAAAATGGACCAAAGTCAAGCTCCGGAAACAGCAACACAGACACAGAAAAGAGTGAGCAAGTGAGTCAAAGAGCGAGAGAGAGATGCAGTACTCTTCGTGAATGCTCGTCGCGGGTTTGGGGGGACGGGGACGGGGACGGGCTACCAGTTAGGGAGAGATGAATCGCGTGTGGATGAAAGTGACTCGAGGCACATCGACTGAGTTAATATCGACCAGGAGGGAGGATTTTCGTGGAAGCTGCTGCACAAGTCAGATCGAAAGTTGGGGATATTTAACAAAACAATAGTTTTCTCATTTGTTAAATTGTTGAGTGAGTTTTTTTTTTTTTTTTTTTTTTTTTAATTTCTTAATTTTTTCCATAACTGTATGAATATTAGATACCTTCCTTTTTTAATATCTTGCAGTAAAAGTTTGCACTATAATTTCTTCATGTGAAGCATGTGCACATGCACTGGAGGTTTTGTCACAAGACCATAAGTTATGAAGTATTCAATTGAAGTTGCTTTTAAAGCGTTTTTCCGTTTTTGGATTGCATCCAAAATTCTGAAAAAGTAGAGGAATATCTTATTACGATTGATATATATATATATATATATATATATAGGTGTCGGCATGTCATTTGTCTATGCATTTATAGATTTTGTGTTGAGTGGTTTTATGATAAAAGTGTAAAGTTTTTACTAAAATAAATAAATAAGTATTTTCGTCACATTTGCCACATCTATTTTGGTTCAAAGATTGTTTGATATACTGGATGTTGTTAGAAAAAATCTAAAAAAACATTCATTTCATGTTTTGGTATGAAGATGTAAGTCATTCTTGCTTCACATGTTACATGTGATGTAGGTAAAATGTTATTGTGTTGGTGTTTTTTTAATGACAATATAAATGGATACTTCCTTACATGTTTTTTCAGCACTAGTACATAAGAATTTAATCTATTTAACAAAACGAAATTATGCATCCACTGCTTAGTTTTTTCAGGAAAAAATATCTTCTTGACCTGATTTCATGTTACTATATTAAGTCTGCTAAATCTATATTTTATCTAAAATAAAGAAATGAACAAACAAAACAAAACTGTGATGAGGAATCTGACATAGATTGTCATGCATTATTGCAAAACAATATTTCAACATTGTTTTGGCAGATTACAGAGAATTTTTTAAAATATTTGTTGACAGTTAAATAAAAAAGGGTTGAACCAAACATGTTGTTGTTGTTTTTTGTTTTTTGTTTTTTTTTCATGGAGATTCTATGCACTGTTTTGAAAAAAAGTAGACAAGAAAGAAATGCAACCTATTTTTATTTTGAAAATAGCTTAAGATTAATTCGTTTTTATTTTTATTTTTTTTTCTCATGGTGATTATTCCATTTCTAATTTATATGATTTTCAGATTGTCAAATAATGGTTTGGTATGGTTTTTATATGCTATGTGCTTTTCATATGCATAAGAATAAAAAAAAAAGCACTTTGAGATGTATCTAGTTATACTTTTGAAAAAATATTTATCAAAATTAAATTAACATATAATTCAATAAAAATGTATTATAATATGGATGAAAATTAGAATCACTTTTAAAATATTTTCAAACACAACTTATAAAATAGTCTTCTATCTTAAAAAATAAATACATAAATATAAGGTAATATTAATGTATTAATGGCAAGTATTAGGAACCATATATAAGACAAGGATTAAAGACCAAGGAATGGAATTAACTCGACATTAAAACAATAACTAGATATAAGATAAGAAGGTCTTAGCTAGACGACAAGAAGTGAGTTGTCGAGATTGAAGATCCCTTCAGCCTCGACTCTTATATATGCTAAGTCCTAAGAAGCTTCTTGAGAAGTTTTTATGAGGTTTGAGAACAAAGCAAGCCTAAGATCCTTTTTTGACAACTTCCTAAATCATCTAAAGCCTCCTAGAAACTTCTATGATCTCCTAGAACTTTCTTAGAATCTACTAGAATCTTTCGGAACCTTCTAAAATCTCATAGAACCTTCAAGAGCCTTCTTAGAACCTTTTGGAACCTTCTTCAGTTGTATGTCTGCGACATTACATCCTCTTCTAACTTTGAGGTCTCCAAGAAGCAATGGTGCAGCAAGCTAGTATATGCGCAAGAAGTTGAAGATTTGTTGCATTGTGTCTATTATATATTCCAATTATTTTTCTTGAGGTAAATAGTTCATAAGCCCTTGTAGCCATTGATAGTGCCTTAAGCCTTCCACTTGTGACTAAGCATGAACTTTGGTATCTTTATTGTGGAATTGTCCTGTAAATACTCCTTTTAGACATCCTTCATAGGCAAGTTCTACCTCAAATATAATTACCAACAACCTATTACTAGGTATCCTTCGATATCTTCATGGTTCAGGTAGCTCTTCATCTAAAAGTCGTCTCCATGACCTACTTAGTTGAAATGGTATGACTGGCAAGGCGTTTATCTCTTAACTATCCATATCATATAAAGTAGATAAGACCAAAAGAATATAAACAAGCTATAGTTGTAAACTCGAACTACTGTCTTATAATATTCTAAATATTTGAAAAAAATTTCTCTTCAGAGGTTGCCTCTTTACCTTCTTTATGAAGCCAAGAACTAAGAATCTTCATGGTGAAGCCATCTTATCAAGCTACTATTCTTCATTTTGCCACTTTTGGTCTAGATGGATGTCGTTGATGGAACCTTTGAACCTTCATTTGTGTATTTACAAGATTGAAAGCTAGTTCCCATGTGCAATTGTTGATATCATATCTGTGCCAATGGACCAGATATTCAAGTCTTCCATGTCTTATCCTTAAATCTAATACCTCTTCTACCTCAAATTCAACATGATCATTGATTTCAACCATTGGAAATTGAGGTTGTCTTTGACTTGCTATATTCGATTCTTTATACGTGTCTAAAAGTGAAACATGAAAGACTCAATGAATCTTCTTAGATGAAGGTAATTCCAAGCAATAAGTTACGTTATTAATTTATTTTTGAATCACAAATGGTCTCAAAAATCAATAGTTCAACTTATCACATAGCATGTTGATTTTTATATTGCATTAAAGAAGCCATACTTTATCACCAACTTGAAATGGAGGATATTCCTTCTTCAATTCATCCACCAATAACTTATAATATTTTTGAGCCCTTCCTAGGTGGATCTTTATAGTTGCTTGAAGTGCGGCCATCTTTATAACAAATTCCTCTGCTCTTAGATTTGTTGACTTTGAAGACTCTATTATATCCAACTTTGGATGATGATCGTAGTTTGAGTAGAATAACATTTGCTGCATAGATGCATAGATTGTATTGTTATATGTAAATTCCGCCAATGATAAGTAAAAAGTCCAATGGTCATGTTGATAGTTGATGGTGCATCTCAAATATTGCTCAAGAATTTGGTTAATCTGCTCTGTTTGGCCATTAGTTTGACGGTAGAATGCAAAATAAAGGTTGATATCAACCTTAAGAATCTTGAAGAGTGCCCTCCAAAACCTTAATACAAATTGTTGCCCACGATTTGATACAATGTTGTCTAGCAACTCGTGGTAAAGGTAGAGATTGTCAATAAAGAGTCTTGTCGTCTCTTCACCAATAATTGACTTCTTGTAAGGTATAAAATATGTCATCTTGGTCAATCAATCAACAACTATGAAAATAATGTCAAATGAACTTGATGGTAGAAGATCTATAATGAAATCCATAGAGATAGATGACCATGGTTGTCTTGGAATAGGAAGGGGTTGAAGAAGTCTATATGACTGATGTCGAGGATTCTTTGACATTGAATAAGTATCATATGTTAGTACAAATTTCTTAATGTCCTTCCACATTTTAGGCCACCAAAAATCTTTGGACAAAAGTTCCAAGGTCTTATTGAATTCAAAATGTTTGGCTACAGAGAAGTCATGGTGTATTTGAAGAATGTACAGGCGAGTTGGTCCTTTAGGAATGAACAAACATTCTTCAAAGAAGAAGAAGTTGTCTTCATACTTGAATTTAGAAGATTCTTCAAGAAGGTTGTTGGCAAGACACTTGATATTACGAGCAAGAAGGTCCATATTTGAGGCTTTACAAATCAAATAAAGAAATGATAAATCTATAGGCATTGATACATTGGTTATTTGAAAATAAAATTACTCAAGTTTTAAGAAGGTTTTCTATTTTTGATCATATGTTGCCTCGCTTTCTTTTGGTTTAAGGTAGAAATATCTTCATAATGCATCTGATAATTCTTGTTGGTTCTCGAGTCAATATGTGATGCAAAAGTCAAATTGTGATAAAAATATATTCCAACGTGCTTGGTGACGATTGAAGACTCAAATTGATATGAAGTATTCAAGATTCTTGTGATCTGTATATATAGTCACTTAATGAGAGGCACCTGAAAGAAAGTAGCGCCATTTTTTGAACGAATCTATAATAGCAAATAATTCTTTATCATAGATTTAGTGATTGATTTTTGCCATTGAGAATTTTTTAGAATAGAATGCAATTGAATGAAGTTTATTATCTTCTCCATATTACAACAAGATTGCTCTTAATGCAAAGTTTGAGGCATTGGTCTCCATAAAATAAGGCTTATTGAAATCAGGATGTATCAAAATTAGAGTTGTTGTAAAAGCATCTTTTAAGCTTTGAAAAGCTTTCTCTGCATTGAGGCCCTAATTCAGCTTTTCTTTGCATATCAATCCCGTAAGTGGAACAGCAATCTTGGAGTAATTTCTAACAAAAATCATGTAGAAGTTTACAAATCCAAGAAAGCATTAGACATCATATATAATTTTTGGCTTTGCTCAATCGATGATTGCTTATACCTTCTTTGGATCCATACAAAGGCCTTTATTGGAAATAATATATCTAACAAATTTAACTTGAGGTGCATAAAATATATACTTCTTCAATTTTGCATATAGCCCAATACTTCATAGTTTTTTCAATATAAGGCAAACATATTTTTTGTAGTCTTCCGGATTTTTGGAAAAGATTATAATATCATCTAAATAGATCACAACAAAATCATCAAGATGCTCTCAAAATATGTCATTCATTAAGTGTTGGAATATGGCTGGAGCATTGGTATGTCCAAAAGGCATGACATTATATTCAAAAT